ATCGATAATTTGATTGTCATCAGGCCAATCATCAATTACAACCGTAATTGAGCCGACTAATAATCAAAGGTGTCAAAAGTTGTTCATTCGATATGACCGTCATCAAGCCGATCACTTACCGTGATTGTAATCAAGCTGACTACTAATCATCACTACTAGAAAACATGTTAATTGCGACGGAAATTTTTCATCGGAAACACCTTGTTTTCCGTCGGAAAACCCATTTTCGACGGAATTTCGTCGTAACCGGTTGTCGGAAAAACACCCTTTTCCGACGGAATTTCCGTCGGAAATGGGTTTTCCGACGGATTTCAGTCCGCCGAGAGTATTTTCAAGCCCGGCAAAGTCCCTCGGAAAATTCCGACGGAATTGAATTCCGTCGTAAATTCCCGACGAAATTTCCGTCGAAAAATGATTTAAAAAAAAAAAAAGGCCACCACCACGCTGTACCACCGCAAGCCGTCACCCCACACCACCTACCCCCACCTCACACAACCAGCCAACCACTCACCAAGTCACCTAACCCACACCCAACCCCACCAACCGTATCACCATCACACTAGCCCGTTGCACCACCCACACCATACCCACCAGCCACCTACACCAGATCCACCACCCCACTACCCACCTACAACCACCACCGCCACAGCCACCTAACCATATTTACTACTCCACCACCCACCTAAAATCACCACCGCCACCACCAAAAATCATCACAACCCAAAAATTAACAAAAAAAAAATCTGAACGCAATCCACAAACACAATCTCCATCCAACAACCACCACCCACCACCACCATAAATTGTAAAAAAAAATCCAATAAAACAACAAAATAAAATCAAAATTGAAAAAAACGAAATACATACCTTAATTAGACCACGCATAACCTCGAAATTGGGTTTAAGAGGCCAAATTCGAACATAAAAACTCTAAATCTAGAGTTTTCATGGTCGAATTTGACCCGAAAACCTTTGTTTTAAGCATGAAGAGAGAAAGTAAGGGCGAAAAAGATGAATATTGTTGTTGATGTTGATGTCGGCGATGGTGTTGTTGATGTTGGTGTTGGTGTTGTTCGTTGTTGATGTCGGTGGTTAGTGTTGGCTATGGTGGGAGATTTAAGGGGAAAGTATAGTAGAGGAGAGATGGAGAAGGAGAACGAGATCGAAAGAGGTGTTGGTGTTGTTCGTTGTTGATGTCGGTGGTTAGTGTTTCCTTTCAACCTAATCTGCTAAAATCTTTTGCAAATTAAAGCACTTCATCTCTAATTTACCAATCCATGTAAGTTTTGCTCAAACTCCTCTTATCTTGGAAGAACTTCATGCGTTTTATTCGCGATTTTTCGAAAAATCTGGGAATTTCCATTCTCGCTTGCTCTTCGGGAGTGATAGTGCCTTGAAACTCAGTTAAAAATCCTATCCTTCAAGATTTTAACGAATCCAAGTTAATTTTTGTAGAGATCTTTCATCTTTGGAAATTCACCATCATGACCAATTACTATTCCAAACGAGGTTCTTGATCAAAATCTGGATGTGCTCAATTAATCAGGCTGATCATGAATCTAACTGTGATCAGGCTGAGTCTAGTTTATTTGCTGAGCCATTTGCGTCCTTTTTCTTCAAATCTTTTGTGCCTACATTTATATTTTGGACTATAGGACTTTGCTCATCTTTTTTTTTAGGGTTACCTTAAGGCTTAGTGTTGCTTGACTCATTGCATAATACTTGTCATGACTCGACTTAAAGCGTTTTGACATATATGGCTTCAAGGTGTAAACTTGACTTAATAATGACTCACTTCGTGTAACTTGTGTGTGCAAAGTATTGACTCATGAGACTCGATGTATACATGACTTATGTGTGCATTCGACTCGAAAATGCAGAAAACATAATTTTCGTCATTTTTGTTGAGTGTACCGACTTTCTCCCAAAAAAGAAAGATGCAAAAAGACATGAGTTAAGTGTTACGATGCATATCGAATGAGCTTAAACAAATGTATGGATCAATGTCGTATCTTAGGGCACGAAGATTGTAACATTCTAGGCTATCTCCATTGTAAATTTTGGATGAGAGTATTTAGGTAACTTAGGCACGGTGGCTAAGCACTTCATACTTTGTGATGCAATGATGACAAGGTATGCTTCCACGTTATGTTAAGATTTCGTGGAAAAAGGTTCTAAGGGAAGTATCATTTGGGCATGAATCTGTGACGTGTGTGAAAGTTATACTAAAGTTAGGCTGTAAAGGCTAACGGTATGGAAAAATATTATTTCAATAAGAGTCAAATGATGGTGAGTCTTAGGATAGGTAAGCTAATGATGTAGGGATCAAGCACCCCAAGTCTAGATCCAAATGGATAGGGATGAGCATTGAAAATTCCTTGATACGATCATGGTGTAAGTGTGTGAATATGAATATGAATGCATTTTTATTACGGTCGCACCCCAATGTGAGGTTGCCTACTTTTCCGTTAGGAATCAGGCCGAACGTAGCTCTAGCTTAACCTCACACAAGTGTGTGTATGCCTCAAAGAGTTTTTTTAAGGGTTGTAATGTGGTTAAGCTAAATGTTGAATTAGAATAGGAATGAAGGCTCAAGACCCTAGATAAGCCCCCAAGGTGTAATCTTTATATTTTTATGCTTGAGGTTTTTTTCATTTTTGAACTCTCTTTCTTTTGTTTATATATTTATCTTTTTTTCTTTTTTTACTTTATCATTTTTTATTTTGATAAGTGTGGGCAATCTCGATCATGCGTTCTCTCACTCACTTGGCATTCATGTTTATCAGGCACGATACCGAGCACTCGATAAGAGACGCAATCTGAGACGTATTCTTATCAAAGATATGTTCATATCAAAGACATTGGAACACTTGCCCTTTTGTACACTTTTATTATTTTTGCTTTTTTTAAAAAAAATCACTCAAGCTTTTATTCTTTGAAAATTGCATAAATTGCACACCATCCCATCCTAAGTTTAGGTAGATGTGGGTCGAAGAAAGAAAGGTCTATCGTTAGACGAAGCTCAAAGTGGTTTATCAAGAAAGGATGTATATTTATAGGTTGAAAGGTGATATGATAGGCTATAAGGGATGTCTCGAATCTTGGGTCTCGTTACGCTGTCTTGGATGTTGAGCCTACGTGCGATGAAAGAGATGAAGATGATGCTATGCAGACTGACATCTGGGAACAAACTAATTCCACCAGTTGACCGGAGACTTGATTATTGGTATATCGATCGAACCTTTGGTATACCTTGTGCTTAGTTCGATATAGCTTTTTTTTTTAAAAAAAAATTTAATGCAATGCGATGATCATATGCAAGAAAAGAAATGCTCATTTTTATTAAAATGTAAAAAGGAAAAAACCTACAAAATAAGATCTAAGGAGAATAAAAGGGGCCTATGCTAGACTTATTGGGGAAAGGATTAATAATAGAAAAAGGTCATGAAATCTTGTTTTTGAAGCTCGCTTCGTGTCTTGCGCTCTTATTATCACTCGGTCTTCTTGCTAGCTGGAGGTATGGGAAGCTTGTTATTATCAATTAAGTATTGGATGGCCTCTTTTAGCTTCCAACAACTCTCAGTAGTATGACCCCTACCTTGATTGTATTTGGAATGTGCATCTGGGTTCAACCTAGGCAATCTCTTCTCAGGTGCGGGATCTTGAATAGGTCCTATGGGAGTAATGAGTCCCTTGGCATGGATTCGATTGAAGGCAGTATCATAGCTCATCCCAATAGGAGTGAAATCTTTCCTTAGTTGCTTTTTAGACCCTTGATTTTCCATTGCTAAGACTTCATTGAGATCAAAGGTACTGACATAGTTACTAGAGTGGGAATTTTTGGATGAAGAAAGATTATCGTTCTTCTTTCCTTTCCAGTCACTGTAGTTACTATTGTTAGTAGCTTTTTGCTTTGCAAGGTCATTTTCGATTTCAATACCTATGTCATAGACGGCTTTAAAAGTATTCAAGTTGTGTTGATATTTCAAATGCTTCGAATACTTATCTTGAAGGTTCTTGATGAACATCCTTACAGACTCCTTTTCAGTAGGGACCTCGACCATATTAGCGGAAGCTTCCCTCCACTTGTTAAAGAAAGAAGTGAACCCTTCGTTTTCCTTTTACTTTAACATCCAAGTTGTATATGGTCTGTTTCACTTTGAATGTTGCACTTATATCTATTAATGAAAGCGTTTATTATTCCATCCCAAGTAGAGGTCTTCTCTTTATCAAGAGAAAAGAACCAATGTTGACAAACGGTTTTTAGAGATAGTGAGAACAAAGAGTGAAAAATATTCCTATCAATTCCCTGAATGTTCATTATAGTTTCAAAGCCCTTAAGTGAAAATAAGGATTGTCTGTTGGCTTGAACTTAGGGATGTCATTGGCATTGAACTTCCGCGGAAGAAGTTCCTTGTCCACTAAGACCCCTTGTGAGCTAATGCCCTGGAATCTATAGTCATTAGATAGTTTTCTCAAGCTTTCTTGCATCTCCATTTGTTGTTTCTTCATAGGGTCATTGATTTTAAGTGTCATAGCCTTCACCAATTCAGTTACGTTAGGCACGTCCTTCCTAATTTCATTGACTTCTTCTTGAGTTGCCATTATCTTCTTAGCTTTTGTTTTCCGACTAATTAGTTTGTCAAAAAGCAGTACTTTTACAAAGGTGTTGTCCTTGATTAATATCCCCACTACTACAAAATTGGCCAAAGAGACCCGTCCAATTAGCTAAAGAGACTGCCTTAGAGGCGGTCTCTAGCTAAGCGGTATCTTTAGCAAAGAGACTGCTTTATTAGAGATGGTCTCCAAATTTAGAATACTGAGACCGCCTATATAAGATAGGCAATCTCTTTTTTTGGGAAAAAAAAGACCGCTTATTAAGGATAGGTAGTATTTTTTTTTAAGAAAAAAGAGATCGCCTATTTAACTTAACAGGTCTCTTTGGGCGCATTTTTAATAAAAAAAAAATAGCTTATTTAATTTGATTTATGCTATTTTCAGTTCGATAAAATTAAAAGAGAATAATATATTTATATTGCCACATTAATGTTTGTACTAACAAAAAATTTTAACAAACTTTAATTAAATTCTAGTACATATAATTATATCAAACATGTAGCTTGCCTACTTGAATACTCTAATTTCTTCCTCTCTCTTTTGTTATGAGATTCTTGTGTGAAAAACAAGCATATCTGTCAAAAAAAAAGGCACACAATAAATCTATCATAATAATTGAGAATAACCAAAAAAAAATTAAACATTCATTTAGAAAACTTAATGAAAAAATGAACTAATAAAATAAAAGATCAACTTCTTTTAAAAACAAGAATTTGCAAATTAATGGTAGCAATTAGATGAATGATAAACAAGAAATTTGCTAAATCAAATCCAATATATTTCCAGCCATGTAAATTAGATACTGATCCACTACTCTACAGTTTCATGAAATTAAAACGATCATAATAACAATGATAATACTACACAACACAAAAATCTAAAGTCTAACCGCAAAACTTAGTGTAAAATACATCAAAGAGATCAAAATCAACTAAAATTGAAACCACCACAAAAAAACAAACAAAAACCAAAATATAGAAATAATAATCAATTAAAAAAACGAAATCAAAGATGAAGAGACCTACAAGTAGTCTCGGAAAATTTGAAATCATTATCCCCAAGAATTTGAATCTAGATCATCAATTCATCTTTATAACAATCAATCGATTTATCAACCAAACATAAAATGAGTATCATCTAACGACATAAACCCATAAAATGCTTCTAAACCATGATAATAGAACTTAAATCGCTCTTTCAAAATTTGAGAACTGGAAATGCTTCATCAAACCTCGCAAACTGCAATAAATCGCTTCAACACTCATCACCAAATCAAAACTTGATTCCCCTACAACCACGCATCTCTCAAACGATTTTGACGCTCCAAACAGGAGGGTTACTCCGGGGATTTAAGAGGTGAAGGAGAGGAAATCCGTTTAAGAGGAAAGAGAGGAGAGAGGAGAGGAAAAGGAAGATAAAGAAGATCAGATGGAGATTGAATGTTGGAGGCGGAAGTGGCGGAATGAAGAATAGTGAAGTGTTAGGGTTAAGTTGTAACATGTCTCTCCCTTTTCTTAATTTTTTTTTTTTTGAAAAAAAATAAGAGAGACCGGTTAAGTTGCATATTGGTTTCTCCCTTTTTAATGTTCAAATAAAAAAACTTAAGAGAGACCGGTTAAGTGACATACAGGTCTCTCCCCTTGTAAATTTCAAATAAAAAGAACTACGATAGACCAATTATCTATGATAGATGGTTTCCGTTAAATTTTAACCTCACAACACAATATCAAAGAGACCTGTTATCTATGAAATTGGGTCTCTTAAAACAAGGAGGCTAGTTATTTAATTAACAGGTCTCTTATTTCAGGTCTCTTTGAGCATTTTTATAGTAGTGCCCTTCTCTCTATGACCAAGTGATGTAGAAAGGAAACTCGGGGATACTTACTGTTAATTATTTGACTCAAGATCTATTCAACATACAATAAATGGGAAAAGATCATGGAAGAAAAAGAAGAATGATAAGTATGGAGAAATCATGTAGAGAATGAAAATTTGATGTAGATGGAGAGATATGAAAAAATTAGGAATATAATGTACCTCCAACTCAAATGACGGAAAAATCGACTCATGCATGAACCTAAGACATGGTCATGATGACATATACACAAAGTTAGTGCTAAGGCTAGTGAGTGTAGGTGACATGTTTGACTCGTGTCATGACCATGGGACTAGACTATGTGACTAGAATTAATTAAGGACTAAGTCAAGACTTCACGTATGTGCACTAAACTAGACAAGTTGTAGTATTTTAGTCATAAATTTTTATCTGTGTCACCAAATTAGACGAAACCAATGCCAAATCAAAGATAAAACACGGGGCTACAGATCCATAGGTTTTACGGCTCGTAACTCTTCCTAGAACTCTGGATATGACCAAAACAAGTTGACGTTTGTGCAGAATACGGGAATAAAAAGCTGGGTTGACTCAAGGGAACTATGACTCGATTTTAGACATATTTATTGGTTCAAATTAATTAATCAATTAATTAAGCAAAGTCTTTTAGCCGTTGGTTAGTTGGTTAAGACTTTAATTACAAACACAAGACAAGACAAACGGTTAGCTTAGCCACATAATAAGTATGCACAAGTAGTCAAGTAGTCACAATATGATGCAATGAGTTTGCATCCTAACCATGACTCAAGTTCTCTAAAGTTTAAGGATAAGGTTTAGTCAAAGAGGGTCCATGGTTATAAGTCCGGATTCACCGCGCAGAAGCCTTACCTTTGGAAGGGTTGGCGCGAGTGGATGGGACCCCGCGAGTTAAACTTGCTTCCATGGTTTGGTGAATTCATCAAAATCGGATGTACCCTTCGTTTCCAGGAGCATTCAATTGGGTAAATGGAGTGTGATGTTTTTGAAACTTGCGTTTCTCCAAAGTCAGTCAAAGTGGGGGCTTCTATAAACACCCAAATGTGTCTCCCCAAAACCAAACCCAGTGATGAATACCTTTCACATCATTTGATTATCGAACGAAGTGAAAGTGTGAAAAGTCTAGTGATGAGGATTTTTTTTATTAAAATGTTTCTCTTTCTGTTTTCAAAAATATTTTTTTTCTTACTCTATTTATGAAAATAGCCAGTCTAATTTGGTTTGGTCCATGATAAGGGTCCAATAATAGTGTAATTGGATTGGGCTTGAAAAGAGCTTTCCAACGATACATTATAAGCCCAATTCCGATGAATAATGAGGTAGTTATGAATTTGGCCCAATGATTTTACATGTGGACTAATGATATAGAGGAGGGCCTATTAATTATTATTCCTAAAGTAATTAGGACTGATTTTAATATTCTAGGAATGTCTAGAAGGTTCTTTTTAATTATAATAAGATTATGATTTATAATTATATTTTGGAAATTTTGATTTTTACCACCTTCAAATAACAACTTTATTGAATTTACCACCTCCAAAAAAAATGATTTACTTTACCACCTCATAAAAAAAATAACATTCAGTTTTACCGCCTAATCAGCACTCCGGTGACGGAAAACGGCTGTGGGGCCCTTTCTCACCTCCCTTTCTCACAATTTCCCTCTATCTCCTCCCTTTCTCACCTTCCCTATTCAATTTATCACCTTCCTCCTCTTCAATTTCTTCTCGCCTCTTCGATATCTTCTCTCTCCTCTGTAATATCTTCTCTCTCCATTGATTTTTCATCTTTCTCTCTGTAAAAAGTCTTGCCATTGGAGCTCCACATTGGCATTTTTTCTCCTTTGAAGGTGATATGCTAAAAGAAGACATTCCCCTCTTAAATTCATTAACAAAAGCATTGAAATTAATTGTATATGAACACAATTGCCATAAACTAACCCCAATTTTACTGCCCAATTGAAATATCAAAAACCCCCAAATTAATTTACACTTACATGAACCCTAATTATTTATAATGAAATTGGTCTTGAATTAATAACACAAAACGTGCAATTTCAATTATACTTAGCAATTGCAACATAATCACGCAAACAATTGCAAAAAAATTACAACAGAATTCATGAAATTTGCTTACATTTTTGTTGTTTGTCGTCGAACAGTTCACTTGATTCAGGGCCGATTACAATCTTCAATAATTTGATAATTTGAGGATGTGGGATTGTTAAGGATCACCCAAATTAAGGATTTGTGAAGAAAATCGCAAAAAAAGCTTCAAAATTCACGAATTTGATGTAGAAATGAAGAAGTTAGGTTTAGATAGAAGGGAAATTGAGAGAATTTGGGGATAATTTCAAAAACTAGTCGTTATGGTGGGCCCCACAGGCGTTTTCCGTCACCGGAGTTAGGAATAAGTGGTAAAAATGATGTTTAATTTTTTCATGAGGTGGTAAAGTAAATCTTTTTTTTTTGGAGGTGGTAAATTCAATAAAGTCGTTATTCGAAGGTGGTAAAAGTCAAAATTATTTTAAAGATGTTTTATTTTTAAAAAATATATTATTTGTCACAAAAATGATTTTAAATCTGCTTGACGCGGAATTACCTGCTTAACCGGTTTAAGAAGGCGATTCCGCGTACAAAGCGCGTTTTACTTTTGAATCAGCGCGAAACGACAAAGCTGTCGTCTGGCACTGCCCTTGTCGTCTGGCGCTGAATCCTGTCATTGGCGAGAGGAGGTATTTTATTCCGAATATGACTTGCTTTGATCCCGTGCTATTTTTCCTATAAATAGGGGTCGTATTTCCCCGTTTTTTATCATTCACAATCATCATTCACAACCATCTAATTCTATTATTTCTCTCTGTAAAAGCTAGAAGTTTTCTTTCTCTCTATTCTTTTTCTCAAAATTCCGCATACATTAGTTCTAGAAACACCTAGCCAAGTTTGAAGTTGTCTTCGCCCTAGACGTAAAAGGTTGATAATTTATGAGGGTTTGGTCCCAAATCCTATTTCAATTCTTTGATTAGATTTATTATTTATTATTTTCCTTGAAGTTAGTAACATGTGTATTTTGTTATTAAAAAGAGATACGAGGCATCGAAGTAAGTAATTTAATTGCTTTATTGATCTTTTGATATAAAAAATCATGCTTAAATTATTTTGTTGATTCCTAGTATCATTTTAGGATGTTATATTGCTTCCTAGTATCATGTTTAGGGTTAACTAAAATTTCTAATAGCATGTATATTATTATGATGCTTCTTATTTCTTTCCTAATGTCATGTTAGTGTCATGTTAGGGCTAATTGATCTTTATTGTCTAGTGACATGCTAGGGTTTGTTATTAATCTTGTTAGTATCATACCTAGGATCTTGCTATTATTATTATGCTTTATTTTTAACATGATTATTATTATTATTATTGTTATTGCTTGATCACGCCTTTTATGCATGTTTAAAGGGAATTAGTACTTGTATTCTCGCTTAATAAGATAATTAATAATCTTGTTTAGGCAAATATGATTATAATTCAAGTGATCGCCAGTAATAGATTTATTTGTGCATTAATATTCAACCAACATAAATTAAACAGGTCTAGGTTTAACCTATTGATTGCATGTTAGTCAGAAAGCGCACATGAATACGTGAAGAATAAAGTAGAGGCCTATTATTAGGGCAAGTTCAATCTCTTTTAGGTTGGATTTGTATCTTCATCCCCAAACTTCCAGTCATGGTTCATGACCTATTGGAGTTAACGGTTTCCTGGATCGTTAAGGGGTGTAACCTTCACCTTGTGAACGGTTTAACAGTTCCTAAAACTTGTTGGCAACTCTTTTACTCTAGCTTCCTTCCCTTTGGACGCCACCATGCTTAAGTGTATGATCACAGTGGTTCTCAAGTGTGGGATGCTTGAAATATTCCCTACAATTATGTTGTGATTATTTAGTGAACTCTAGCGCATCATCAAACAACATAAATGGAATCTAACATGCATAATCAACTGAATGCATAAATAAGACATAATATGGCCCCTAATCCTAAGACAACTAATAAATCAAATGCTCCCATTTGAACCTTCATAGATCTCATCCACCTCGCTCCTTTGGGCCTTCACTTCATGGGCTTCTTGGATTAACTGCAACCTGTAATTCTACTCTGTTCTATCTACTACTTAAATAAATTGAAATATAATTATAAAAATACTTTATCGGTACATCGACCATACTTACATTACAAAATACATCACGATGCGCAGATCGTATTTAGTAATCTACTGGGCCATACTAGTCATTATATAGCAACAAATAGCATCATATATTATAATGTGCCATATAATAAATCACTCATCGTGTTTTCCTAAATTACAACATCGAATATTCATAATTAATTACTACAATTAGATAATGTCATATATTATTCGTGACCATCAATAAAAGTATCGTATAATATAAATTAGTCATGAGATAGAATCAAATCTTATTTTAATCTCAAAAAAGATAAATCATATTTATCCTCAAAGATTATCCTAAAAAAATTAGGATATTATGTCCTATTTACTAGCCAATCACAAAATTACATCGAATAATATATGACATAATATATGACATTATCTAAATAAGAGTCCATGTCAAGCCCAAATATCTAACTCTAATCTAACTACTCTAGCCCAACTCCATTCATGGTATGTCATATCCTCATGAGGCCCAATAATGGGAATCTTACTTGTTTAACCCAATACCCTTGTCGTGACCTCATAGGATCCATTCTAGAGGGCTTTGGACTATTTGACTTGTCCAAAGATCATTTATCATAATCTAGCAATAGACAATGACGACCCAATAACGAACTTATTATCTCCATAATAGTGATCCTTGATATATCTAGTAATTGCACTTATCAAAGACATAATTCCCTCAAATTCAACATGCAATAGATGGGAAGAGATCATGGAAGAATGTGGGGGAGTGACATATATGGTGAAATCATGTGGAGAGTGGAAAGATGATATAGATGGAGACTATAGATGTTTTAGGAATAGAATGGACCCCTAACTCAAATGACGGAAGAAACGACTTATGCATGGACCTAAGACATGGTCATCTTGACACATATATAAAGTGTGTGAAGACTCATGAGTGTAAGTGATATATTCAAGATTCGTTTCATGACCATGTGACTAGACATATGATTAGATTCGAACAAAGACTAAATTAAGACCTCACGTATGAGCACTAAACTGGATAGGCTGTAGTATTTTAGTCATAACATTTTATCTGTGACTCTAAATTGGACGAAACCAATGCCAATTGAAAGATAAAACTCGGGGCTATAGATCCATAGATTGTACGACTCGTAATTTTTTCTAGAACTCCGGTTATGACCAAAACAAGTCGACGCTTGTGCAGTATACGGGAATAAAAATCCGGGTTGACTCAAAGGAACTATGACTCGATTTTAGGCATATATATTAGCTCAAATTAATTAATCAATTAATTAAGAAAAGTCTGTTATTTATTGGTTAGTTTATTTCAGCATATTTATAATCACAAGTCAAAACAAACGATTAGTTTAATCACATATAAATCTGCACAAGCAAATAATGAATAGTAGTCAAATAGTCACAACATGATGCAATGGGTTTTCAACCTAACCATGGCTCTAGTTCTCTAAAGTTCAAATATTATGGTAATCAAAATATGGTCCATGGTTATGAGTCCGGATGCATCGCATGGAAGCCTTACCTTTGGAAGGGTTGACGCGTATGGATGGGAGCCCGCAAATTAGACTTGCTTCCATGGTTTGGTGAATTCACAAAATCGGATGTACTCGTCGTTGCAATGAGCGTTCAATTGGGTAGATGGAGCGTGAATTCCTACAAGGTTATAGCCATATGTAAAACACATATGGGTTCAGAAAAGAGGAAAAAACTGAATTAGGAAGTAAAATCGAGCAAACATTACTATAACT